CTCGGTTCGCTGTTGTTCCCGTCTTGGCCTACTCTTGGGCCGTCTGGGCCGTCCTGTGGGGCCCTCTCGGCCGTGACAATTAAAAGAGGGTATACGCCTCCGGCCCACCATGCCTTAAAGAGGGCCACTACATATAAGGAAATAACACAGCCACAGGAGTAGCACTCACAATGAATAATATGAAACCAGACCATCTAATTACATATGCTGATCTTAGGAATCGAGTCTGATGAGGCCTCTTCATAACTCCATCGCCCAGAACCCTCCTCCCTCCTCCCCTCAAACTCGCTGCTCTCCAGATCTCTCCTCCTGATCTTGCGCCCTCCTGCGCTTGTGTTGTCTGCGCAGGCTCCCCGCCGGAACATGCTGTGCACAAGTGCTGTCACTGCTCCCGCCACCGTGCCCTGGGTGGTGGGTCAGAGGCCTCATGGGTGTTGGTTTGGATCTCGTGGTTGGCATGTCGGGGACGTCGTGAAGGCAGTTTCGCAGCTTCTCGGTAGCCGTTTTGGGACCGTTGTAGGGCCTCCTCGGGCTGCTTTGTGGCCTCTTTAGGCCTCGTTTGGGCCTCCTGGGTGCCTCTTGGGGGCCTCCTGGGGCCTCTTGGGGGCTCCTTGGGGCCTCCTGGGGCACTCTTCAAGCGGGAGGGTCGAATTTTGGAGTCGTGGTCCCCCTCTTGGGCGCATCTTGGGTCCGTCTTGGGGCTCTGTTGGGCTGTCTTGGGCGACTCTGGGGCCGTCTTGGGGCCCTCTTGGGCCGTCTTGGGGCGCTCTTGGGGGCCTATTGAGCCATCTTGGAACGTCGGACAGCCGAAAAGGCTGGAAGGCCAAAATCGGTCGAAAACCTTCGTAAACTTGACGATTTCGGCCTCTGGAAGCGCTCTGGAGAGGCGTCTTGAAGCGTCGTGGAGTGCCTTGGGGCGCCTCTCGGGCCGTCTTGGGCATATCTTGGGCGTCCTAGAGCGGTCTTTCGGCGACTCGGGGCCCGCTTGGGCCGTCTTGGGAGCCTCTGGAGGCCCTCCTGGACTATTTTGGGCCTCCCCGGCCGCCCCTCCTCCCATGGGGGGTCGGAGGCGGCGCCCTCCGAGGTCTAGGACGCGGAAACCCTTTTAAAAACACAGGGAAAATGAGCCCCAGTACCCCATGGAAACACAAAAAAAAAGAAAAAAGAACAGACAAGGGAAGAAACCAGAAAACCAAAACAAGAGAAAGAGAACAGAGCAATACGAAAAAACCAAGCACCAGCCGGCTTTTCGGCGCCTCTTGGACCGATGGAGCTCCGAAACCGCGAGAAAGAACACCCCAAAAAAAACAAAAAAACAAAAACCAACGCCAAACACAAAAAAAAAAAAAAAAAAAAAGAACCAAACAAGCCAAAACATTAAAAAACATTGTGAATCGTTTTGATTTTTTTTCTCCAGCCGTACCGCGATACCTATCAGACTTCTTGGGGTCTCTTGGAGGCCACCTGGGAGCCTCGAGAGCCGTCGGAAGGCTGACTTGGGCTGCTCGGGAGCGTCTTGGGCCATCCTTTCGCATTCTGGGGGCTCCTAGGGGGCGTCTTGGGCCCTCCTGGAGCGCTGTGGAGGCTGCCCAGAAAGGCTGGGGCAGCGGTGCCGGGAGCGTCCCCGAGATGTGGCCATATCTTTCCAGCGCGTTCCAGGAGCATCTTCCCGGAACGCGCTCGTGGCAGGGCGCCCACGTCCGAGGACGTTGGCATGGGAAACCGCAGCGCGTGATCATTCCAGCGCGTTCCGGCGAAGACCGTCCGGAACGCGCTTGGGCAAGCCCTGGGTTTGAGTAAGGCGAGTGGGAACCGTTCAGGCAGTTTGGGATGCTCGGGGCAAGAGGCGGAAGCCATCCTCAGAAGACATGCAGTCTTCCTGGAGCCGTCTTGCAGAAAACCAAAAAAATGAGACCCTGCAGTCGTTCCTGGAGCCGTCTTGGAGCCCTCTTGGGCTGCCCTGGAGCCTGTTGGAGCCCTCTGCGGAATGGTCTTGGAGCCCGCGCCGAGGATCTGGAAAATGTCCGGGACCATCGCGGCGGCCTCCGAGGCCCGGGACGCCGAAACCCCGTGAAAACATAGCGAAAATGAGCCCCGGTACTCGCATGGAGGGTCGGGCAGCTGTTTTCGGGCCCCTGGGTTAGAACCATCGCGCGCGCTTCGCGCGCGCGCTCAGGTTCTAGCCCAGGCCGGGGGGGCGCTGGACGATCTTGGACAGCGCTATCAAGCACAGGCGCGCGACGGCATCTGAGGAGCTTCTGGGGTGTTCCGCATGCTTCGTCAACTGGCTGTTGGAGGCACCTCTTGGGTGCTTCTTTGGGGGGCGTCTGAGGGTCCCTTGGGGGCATCGGTTCTGCAATCTGAAGCCGTCATTGGCCGTCTTGGCTGCGTGGAGGCCCGACTTGAGGCCACCTGCGGCCAGATTGAGGCAATCCGGAAGCCTCCCAGGGGCCTCCTGGAAGCAGTTTTGACGCATCGAGGGTACTCTTGGGCAGCCTCTTGGACGTCTCCTGGTGGCCTTTTAGGCCCTCGGGGAAGCTTCTGGGGTCCTCGTCGGACCACTTGGGGGCCTCTTGCGGCCTCCTGTGGGCCTTGTGGGGGGACCGCTCTGCTGTTGGATCGCGTTCCCCTTCTTGAGCCTCTCTTGGGGCTCTTGGGGCCCTCTCAGGCCGTCTTGGGCGCCTCAAGCACCGTTTTGGGGCCCTCGCGGGCCGTCTTGGGGTCCTCTTGGAGGCCTCGTCCTCTATATGGGAGCGGTATTGGAAGCCTATTGGGCCGTCTTGGAGCATCGGGATGCCAAAAGGCAAAAAAAAAAAACGTCAAAGCCCAATCGTAAAACAATGTGTTGTGCCTCTTGGGGCCACCTTGGGAGATCTCTTGGAACCTCGTCGGCCCTCTCGGGAGCTTCTTGGGGGCCTCTTGGATCCGATTGGGGGCCTCTTGGGACTTCCCGAGACCCTCTCGGGGTAGAAAGCTCGGATTCTCTGTTCGTGTTTCCCTTCTTGGGCCTCTCTTGGGGCCGTCTCGGGGCCCTCTCGGGCCGTCTTGGGCGCCTCAGGCACCGCCTTGGGGCCCTCGTGGGCCGCCCAGGGCCCTCTTGGAAGCCTCTTCGGCTATCTTGGAGCTGTCTGGGAGGCCTCTTCCTCCTCCTCGTCCCCCTCCTCCTCCTCCTCCCACTCCAACTCTCTCTACTCCTGATCTTCCTCCTCCTCCTGCAGCGTGTTCCTGAAGGCTCCCGCCGGAACATGCTGTGCACAAGTGCTGTCACTGCTCCCGCCACCGTGCCCTGGGTGGTGGGTCAGAGGCCTCATGGGTGTTGGTTTGGACCTCGTGGTTGGCCTGTCGGGGACGTCGTGAAGGCAGTTTCGCAGCTTCTCGGTAGCCGTTTTGGGACCGTTGTGGGGCCTCCTCGGGGCTGTTTTGTGGCCACTGTAGGCCTCGTTTGGGCCTCCTGGGTACCTGTTGGGGGCATCCTGGGGCCTCTTGGGGGCTCCTTGGGGCCTCCTGGGGCACTCTTCAAGCCGGAGGGTCGAATTTTGGAGTCGTGGTCCCCCTCTTGGGCGCATCTTGGGGCCGTCTTGGGGCTCTGTTGGGCTGTCTTGGGCGACTCTGGGGCCGTCTTGGGGCCCTCTTGGGTCGTCTCGGGGCGCTCTTGGGGGCCTATTGAGCCATCTTGGGACGTCGGACAGCCGAAAAGGCTGGAAGGCCAAAATCGGTCGAAAACCTTTGTAAAATTGACGATTTCGGCCTCTGGAAGCGCTCTGGAGAGGCGTCTTGAAGGCGTCGTGGAGTGCCTTGGGGCGCCTCTCGGGCCGTCTTGGGCCTATCTTGGTCGTCCTGGAGCGGTCTTTCGGCGACTCGGGGCCCGCTTGGGCCGTCTTGGGAGCCTCTGGAGGCCCTCCTGGCCCATGGGGGGTCGGAGGCGGCGGCCTCCGAGGCCCAGGACGCGGAAACCATGTAAAAACAAGGAAAATGAGCCCCGGTCCCGCCATGGGGGGTGGAGGCACCTGTCCAGGGGCCCCCGGCCTCGCCCCCAGGGATATATATATATATATATATATAGATATCATAATGTATATCTAGATTCCATTATTATATACATATATATAAATATATAGCTTCCTTCACGATTTTGATTGGCTCCCCCTGCGGCATCCCCACACAACCAGCAGAAACGATGTGAAAGTGCACCGGCTGGTCACAATTCAATTCCAATCCGTACTTCCGCCCCTCCGCCACAACTGCGTCCAGCATAAGCTCGACGTTTGCTAGTTGATGAGATACCAACGCTGTGCCGTCGGCGTAAAGTTTGCCCCTGGATACAACGTAACCCGTTTCTGGTTGAGGGGAAGGTCCGAGAGAGCGCCCTTCAGCATCACAGTCTGTACAATAGTAAATGACTAAGGTGACAACGGGCATCCCTAGGCAATGCCTGCTGATGGACGTCGCTGTGATGATTTACCACAGTGGTCCAATATAGAAAAATACTTGCGTGAATATATCTCCCTGATCATTTGTACGAGAGGGTGTGGTAACCCGAATCTTGTCAAAGCTGCACACACATCTCGTCCCGAAAAGGCGCCCAAGAAGAAACCCCAAAAGAAAGCCGGGCTTGGCAAAGCTTCCGTCACGGAGTCGATCCGCGACGAGTCGGAGGATGCGAGACGGGAGCTGTTTGGTGCGTGGGTGTTGCCGCTGCTGGTCCGTTCCTTCGTGTACCTCGTCGGGGTGCTCGTGATGGCTGTCTTGGGGCTTGTGCATTATTCTGGGATTGCTCTTGCAATGGGCCCTGAATCTATGCGTTTATGCACGATGGTGCTTTTGCAGTGCTGCGGTGGCGTGGACCCACCTTGAAGACGAGAACGAGCTCGAATTGGACGGCGAATTTCTGTTGTACTGCTTCCAAGACGAGCCACGCTACGTCCTCTTGGGCATCTTCTCGTGGGAGGGGTTGTGAAAGTTCGCGGGGGCTCGGCGGCCTCTCTCCTGGAGTTGCTGCCGCTGTCCACGGCCGTCGTCTTCTCGGGGTGCTTGTGAGGCGGCGGCGCGTCTCCCTCCTCCTCCTCCTCCTCCTCCTCCTCCTCCTCTTCCTCCTCCTCCTTCGCCTTCGCCTGATCCGTGCCGAGCAGGGGTGTCTCGTCTGATCGGGGCGGCCATTGGCCTGTGGAGTACTAAGTCCTCCTCTTCCTCATCCTCCTCCTCCTCCTCCTCCTCCTGATCCTCCTCCCCCTCCTCCTCGACCTCCTACACAACAACACAATGTCAATACTACGCGCCTCTCTCCCCTAACCCCGTCCGGAAGATAGCCGTTGGTCTCCGCGCACTGTTTTCATCCACACTGAATTGGAAAGAGGTGGTCATTCTTGTGTTTATCCCAGCCATCCTGTGGTGTTGCGTCCTCGTTTTGAAGATCGGCGGCGAGCCTGGCGGAGAAGTGGAAAGGAGAGGGCCTTCTCAGAAGGCTCGGAAGGCCTCTGGCCTTCTGAGAAGTTTCTGAGGCTTCCCCGAAGACACAGACAACCTCTCAGAAGGTCCGCGGGTTGCTGAGAAGCCCCGCCGCCTTCTGAGAAGGCCTTCCCCTTCTTACTTGCCCCTCGCTCGCCGCCGAGTCCTGTGGTGTTGGGTCCTCGTGCTGAAAAGACAGGGCCGCGCGTCTCCTTTCTTCCCTCCCGCTGCCCGCCTCCTCCCTCCTCCCATCCCTGTCATCCCTGCCTCTGCCCACCGAATGCCTCTGTTTCGACGAACCTCTCGGCGGCGAGCGTGGGGGGGGGGGAAGTGAGAAGGAGAAGGCCTTCTCAGAAGGCGGCGGGGCTTCTCAGAAGCCATCGCGCCTCCTGAAATGGTCGTGGGGCAACCGCTGGCTGGCCAGCTTCCTACTCGGTGCGCCTTTTGCAGAGGCCCCTGGCTGCAGGCGGGCCCACCGGGGAGGGGAGGAAGCGAAGTCCCAGGGCAGGCCAACTCAAGGCCGGCCTTGGATCCTGGAGGCCCGCAACGATGTGGTGTCGATGCAGGGGTAGGACGCAAACGTGCAGGCGCACGTAGGCTGGCCTCGAAGTGCAGTGCGATGACGTGGGGATCCCAGCGCGCACGTCGGGCGTACGTCGGCCCCAGCGCGCAGTGCGATGACGTGGGGATCCGCTGGGCGTTCGCTCGGAGCCGCCGCCCCCCTGAGAGCTGCTGGGGGCGCCATCCCCGCGGCCAGCGGTCGATCCGACGATGCCATGGACGCCGTGCCGTGGTCAATGCTGGGGCCGGCCTGCCTGCCCCTGGATGCCCCTGGGAGGCAAGCTACTGAGAATCAGGAGAAGCAGGCAAGACATCAGGCGCCTTCTCGCCTGCAGCCAAGCGGAGGGAGGAGGGGAGGGGGAGAGGGACCCCCCAGGTCCCCCTGGGGGGTCCCTGCCCGGACCTACGTGCTATCGAGAGCGCTGGGGGGGGGGGGAGCATTTTCCTACGTTTTCAATGTTCCCGCTTTTTCTGCCAACCAGAGTGGGAACAAAACGAAAGCCAAGAACAATGAAAAACGATTCGTGCGCGAGCAAAAGACGGACAGAAAACGGAGTGCCAAGACGGGAAGCAACGCATTCACAAAACTGTTCAAAAAGATCGACGACTTTGGGGAAGCTGAAACAATGTTGAGAACGCTTCGAAAATTCGAACGAAAAACAAAACAAACAAAACATAAACAACAAAAACATATTGGCACACCGCAAGCCAATTCTGGATTTGAAAACGGAAAGACAACTGTTGCCGAGCACTAGTCAAAACGGAGCTCAAACTGAAAGATAACGGCGGCTCGAACTTTCACATAACGAAACACAGCGGCGATCAAAACAGAAAAAAAACTACGATTTAAAAACGGCATACAAACGCCCCCAGCGTTTTCCAGAACATCTGAGCTCCCAAGATCCCCGCAAACCCCATTGTCCGCCTACATCACCTCCCACCTCAACGCAACTCCTCCGTCGCACCACCAGACGTGTTGTTAGAGTGGGCTGGGCGTCTCGCCTCCGACCTGCTGACAGTGTATCACCTCGAAGCTTGAAAGTTTTAACATTTACGCTGACTGAGCACAAGTCTTTTGCAAACATGGCCCCCTCGCCCTGGTGTCACACACACACTCGTTTGAAAAACCTGACAGATACACTGACGGAGAGCGGGTAATGTTCAAAATGGCGTTCTCCCCCTGGCGCCACGCACAGTCGTCTTAAAAGCTTACAACAGCTGACGGATGGAGGGCGGTTGGTTTTCACAATGAGCCTCAGGCATTCGCACGCCGCACATTCGTCATACAAGCTCGCAACGAGGACACGGACAGCTGGCGGTCTGTGTTCGCAAATGGGGCTCACGCATGAGACGTCCAGGTAGGTTCTTATGATGGTACTTCACGAGATTCGAAATTCTGCAAAAGCTACACGGATGGAGGGCGGCTCGTTTTCAAAATGGGGCTCACGATTGATACTGCCTGAGAGTTTCCGACAAACACTGACATTGTGCAACGCTTGCGCAGATGGAGGAAATTGTCGAGACCGAGATATCGCTGGACACCTCCTTGTACTGCACGGCCCCGAAATACCTCTTTGCATCTCCTGCAACTGGAAGGACGGAAGGTGGGCCAAAGCTGAAGGGGTCTCGCCTGAATGGAAGGCCAACGGGGCTTTCGTCTGACAGGATGGGGTCACTTCCCGCAGTGGACAGGCAGATGTTGTGGGAACTTATGAAGAGGGGACTTCGGATTACCTGACAGCGAAGACTGGTAGGCTTCCAGTGGGCTCAAAAGAGAGCATCTTGACTCCCCAGGGGGGTCTGGGCGGATGCCGGGGAGAATCCGAGAACTCCCCGGGACTCCCCAAGGGGGTCTGGGCGGGTGCTGGGTAGGATCCGGGGACTCCCCAGAACACCATTCCCAGGCCACATTTTGAATGCCCGGAGCCAACTGTAGGCCACTTCGTGTTCTTCGTCTTCCCAGAACACCATTCCCAGGCCACAGTTTGAATGCCCGGAGCCAACTGTAGGCCACTTCGTGTTCTTCGTCTTCCCAGAACACCATTCCCAGACCACATTTTGAATGCTCGGAGCCACCTGTAGGCCACTTCGTGTTCTTCGTCTTCCCAGAACACAACAATTCCCAGACCACATTTTGAATGCCCGGTGCCAACTGTAGGCCACTTCGTGTTCTTGGTGTTCCCAGAACACCATTCCTGTAGTATTTTGATAGCCCAGAGCCAACTGTGGGCCACTTCGTGATCGATCTTCGTGTTCCCAGAACACCAGTCCCGTGTCATATTTTGAATGCCCGAGCTGAGGCAGGCTGAGGCCGAGGCAGGCTGAGGCCAAGGCAGGCTGAGGCTGAGGCTGAGGCACGCCGAGGCAGGCTGAGGCTGAGGCTGAGGCAGGCTGAGGCTGAGGCTGGGCAGGCTGAGGCCGAGGCAGGCTGAGGCCGAGGCAGGCTGAGGCTGAGGCTGAGGCACGCCGAGGCAGGCTGAGGCTGAGGCTGAGGCAGGCTGAGGCTGAGGCTGAGGCAGGCTGATGCTGAGGCAGGCTGAGGCTGAGGCTGAGGCTGATGCAGGCTGAGGCTAAGGCAGGCTGAGGCTGAGGCCGAGGCTGAAGGCAGACTGAGGCTGAGGCTGAAGCAGACTGAGGCTGAGGCTGAGGCAGGCTGAGGCTGAAGCAGGCTGATGCTGAGGCAGGCTGAGGCTGAGGCTGAGGCTGATGCAGGCTGAGGCTGAGGCAGGCTGAGGCTGAGGCCGAGGCTGAAGGCAGACTGATGCTGAGGCTGAAGCAGGCTGAGGCTGAGGCTGAGGCAGGCTGAGGCTGAGGCATGCTGAGGCTGAGGCTGTAGAGACAGGCTCGGCTGAATGCTGGAGTATGTTGCAAGGCTTGAGACAAAAACAGGTGGGGGGGGGGACCCCCCCCCCCCCCCTGAGGCCGAGGCTGAGGCAGGCTGAGGCTGAGGCTGAGGCTGAGGCAGGCTGATGCTGAGGCAGGCTGAGGCTGAGGCTGAGGCTGAGGCAGGCTGAGGCTGAGGCAGGCTGGGGCTGAGGCTGACGCAAGCTGAGGCCGAGGCAGGCTGAGGCTGAGGCTGAGGCAGGCTGAGGCTGAGGCTGAGGCACGCTGAGGCTGAGGCCGGCTGAGGCTGAGGCTGAGGCCGAGGCATGCTGAGGCTGAGGTCGAGGCAAGCCGAGGCAGGCTGAGGCTGAGGCTGAGGCTGATGCTGAGGCAGGCTGAGGCTGAGGCTGAGGCTGAGGCTGAGGCAGGCTGAGGCTGAGGCTGAGGCAGGCTGAGGCCTGAGGCCGAGGCAGGCCTCAGGACCTGAGGCCTGAGGCCAAGCGAGGCATGCTGAGGCTTTGGGCTGAAACTGAGGCAGCTGAGGCATCCGTAAATGAATCCTTGAAATCCTAAAATCCTAGCAATCCTTCGGGAATCGGTAGGCATCCTTTGGAATCCGTAGGCATAACCGAATACTTCGAGAATAAACACTAGGGGATAATACAGTTCGGGGTTCAGGGGGAGATAATCAAAGTAGCCCACCAGACCTCAGCATAATCTCGAAGTAAGAGATGATCAAGAGGAGACCAAGCCGAGCACGTTTTGAGACATCCTTGGCGTTTAGTCTTCATAGAAATATCCTCAACAATGGCTTATCTCGCTGGAGACATCCTCGACAAATCCCTTGTTTCGCTTGAGACATCCACAAACTATTGCTTATTTCGCTTGAGACATCGTCAAACGATTGCTTATTTCGCTTAAGAAACGTATCGTTTCGCTTGAGACATCCTTCAGTATATGCTTTGTTTCGCTTGAGACATCCTCGAGTATTTGCTTGTTTCGCTTGAGACATCCTCGGAATAGCTCATCCGCCTCGGTGTCCCCGGGTAATCAACCGCGGCGATAATAAAGTTCAGGCGGGCGGAGGAATGGAGAAAGCGATATACAAAAACAAAAATAAAAAGAAGCAAAAATAAATGAAAAAGAAAAAGGAAACAAACAAAAACAAAAAGAAAAGAAACCAGAGGAGGAGGAGAAAGAGAAGGAAAAATCTCAAGTTCAAATGTATTAGATTTTATTTACAAGCGCTTTATGACAATTAAAATGTTTAAGTGCTCGTGTAGGGTAGCTCATGTGCTTCATTTTCCATGGATAATCAAACCCAGTGATAAAAAAAAAGTTCAGAGGGGGGGGGGCATGGAGAGAGAGAGAGAGAGAGAGAAAGAGAGAGAGAGAGAGAAAGAGAGATACATCATAAAGAAAAAGGAAGGAAGGACTTAAAGAGAGAAGATACATTTAAAAAGAAAAGTAGAATGATAAATGAAAAGGATAAAGAGAAGAGGAAAGGAGGATAAAACAAAAAAAACTCAAGATTCAACTGTATTAAATTCTATGTACAAGCACTTTATGAACATTAAAAGTTTTAAGTGCTCGTGTAGGGTAGCTCACGTGCCTCGTTTTCCCTGGATAATCAACCCCAGCGGTAAACAAGTTCAGGGCGCCAGGGGGAGGAGGAGGAGAAAGAGATAGAGAGACAGAGAGAGAGAGAGAGACAGAGAGGCCAGGAAGGAGAAAGAGATAGAGAGACAGAGAGAGAGAGAAAGAGAGACAGAGAAAGAAAGAAAGAGAGACAGAAATAACTACAAAGAGACAGAAGGACATTGGTTTCGCTTGAGACATCCTGAAACAACGTGTTCGCTTCGCTTGATGTTGTTATCTCAACATAAGAAGGAAGTAACTTCGATGGCGAACGTTTCCCGTGATAATGAAGTTCGGCCTCCGCGCCCCCGCGCCCCCGACCAAACTCTTATTGGTCGACGATAAAAAAACTCGAACGACTTTAAGGGGGGGTACTTTATTATCATCGGCATGCGAATGTTAAGCATCCTCAGGAATCCTTAGGAATCCTTAGGATTCCCTAGGCATCCTTAGGAATCCCTAGGTATCCCTAGGAATCAGGATTCCTAAGGATTCCTAAGGTTTCCTAAGGATTCCTATGGATTCCTAAGGATGCCTATGGATGCCTTAGGAATCCCTAGGGATCCTTAGGATTCCATTGGATCCTAAGGCGGTTGTCACTGCGACTGTCATTGCGAATGCGACTGCGACTGCGAGAACAACATAATTCTACAACTGGATTATCACCTGAATCGTAAGGGGAATGCTTCCAGATATGCTTATACACATCGCTGTTAGGTTGCTTTGCCGGGATAATTCTGTGGGAGCTTATTAAGAGGGGACTTCGGACGAGAGGTTGGTTGGCAACATTGTTGATGCAACTTGGGTTTACTCTGGTTCTCCTCCTCCTCCTCCTCCTCCTCCTCCTCCTGCTCCTCCTCCTCCTCCTCGTCCGTGTCTCCACAGAGGGGCAACGATAGGGGAGACTGGCTCAGCGGGAGGGGGCATCGATCTGGAATTGGCGATACATGACCGATGGATCGACGATAGTCCCCCGATCACTCTTCCGCACGCTCATGGGCGGGGTGGGCGATCGGGCCCTCGTCAGAGATAAGTGCGCGATTCGGGGTCGATACGTCTCCCCCCATGCGCCGATCTCCCGCCAAACGCTGCCCCTGATGCCTCCGACCTTCGGGGGGGGGCCCCTGCGACTGCACTCGGTCGGCGCCTTGGCATCCAGCTCGCCCTCCTCGTCGGGCTCGCCGTCCTCGCCCTCCTCGTCCTCCTCCTCGTCCTCGTCGCCGCTGTCGGCGGCGTTGGCGAGCGCGGGCCATGTTCCCTTTGGCAGGGGGGGGGCGCTACAGGGGCTCCTCATCATCATCCAAAGATCCCATGAGGGGCATGGGGAAAAGGACGAACGAACGCACTGATAGTTGTCCCGATGGTCAGCCTGGTGGTTGTCCCCATGGTTGTCCCGATGGTTGTCCCGATGGTTGTCCCGATGGTTGTCCCGATGGTTGTCCGAGGTTGACAGATCGCTGTCCGATGGTTGCTCGGATGTTTGACATGATGGTTATCCAGATGGATGTCCTGGTGGATGTCCCCATGGTTGTCCTGATAATTGTCCCGACGGTTGTCGCAGTGGGTGTCCCGGAGGTTGTTCCGATTATGTTCCGATGGTTGTCTCGATGATTGTCCCGATGGTTGGCCCGATAGTTGGCCCGATGGTTATCCTGAAGGTTGTCCTGATGATTGACCCGATGGTTGTCAGGATTGTTGTCCCGACGATTATACCGATGGTTGTCCCTATGCTTTATGGTGCTCCTTCTGTTTGTATTTCCTGTCTCAGGCTTGTCCTGTTGTTTACGAGTGCTGATCGTTCAGCAGCAAGCCCCGCCCCCAGACCTCCTCATCACCTACAGGGTGGTCTTGTCACCTATATGAGCTGCCTTTGGAACTGCCCCCTGCACACGGATCCTCAACGCTCTCCTTCCACTGTCTTTGCTCCAAGGTTTGCACAGCAAGTGGTCCACCAAAAAACGCCAGACACACAACCGCTGCTTTCGCGTGAATGCCTTTATGGCTTTACTACCAGAGTGGGCGTGAAGAAATGTGAAGAAGACCAGTGTTCACCATTTCTCGAGGGAAAGAGATCGATGAACATGACCCAGACTGGATGCGGAAACGTCGGTGTCGGTATTAGCCATCGTCCATCTTTGACATTGTCGATTCGTGGACCATCCTCGCAAATCGTATACGGCCAGCATGAACCATAACCAAGATTTGCGCCGACATGATCCAGGGACATCTTGGTCATGGTCATCGCATAACATGCCTGGAAAGCCGATCCTAGGTGATCCCCCTCCCCCTGGATCTGGACCCCTCCACGCGAGGTGTCAGAGGGTCCCCCGGGTGGCTTCAAGAGGTCCCCAGAAGGCCCAAGATAGCCTCCAAGGTCGCTCAAGATATCCCACGATGATTCAAAAAAGCGTCCAACATGTCTCCAAGAGCCCGCAAGATCGCTCCAGGACGGCCCCAAGTGCCCTCCGAGCCTCCGAACAAGGCCCCCAGGAAACCAAAATCATTCAAACCCACTCCGTTTTTTCAAAGTTGGTTGCCTGCTCGCCTAATCCCTTCCGATGGGCCCTCGAAGCCTCAAGGTAGCTCCACGATGTCCCACGATGGTCAGAAAAGGGGCCCAGGAGGACCCCAAGACGGCCTCAAATCAAGAGCGGTCAAGACCGCCCCAAGACCGGCTGCAGAAAACTCCCATAAGCGATGTTCCGGGCCCCGACGAGGGGGACCGAAATCGGCGCCCCCCTTTTCCTTTTTGATCGATGGCATCCAAGATGGCCCCAAGAAGCCCCAAAGGTCTCCAAGAGGACCCCAAGAGAGCTCACTGAGCAGCCCAAGAATGCCCCAAGAGAGCCCCCAAGAGAGCTCCCAAGAGCGCCCAAGAGGCTTCCAAGATGGCCCCAGGAAAGCCCCACGATGGCCCCGAGATGCCTACGAGACGCTCCCGGAGCGAAGGATCGTGAAAGTCTTCGTATTGATTCAGATCGTCGTCGTTGTCGTCGTCGTGGTCGTCGTCATGGTCGTCGTCGTCGTCGTCGTCCCCCCCTCCTTGTTCGGCTGGATGCTGCTACATGTTCGTGATCAAGACAACTTGCCTGGGCAGCGTTACCGCAACTGCCCCGGGTTTACCATGTAGGCCGTTGAAGGGGGCAACCGCTTCCCGCGGCTGCCTGGGTTCAGTGGTTGCCTGACGTCGCCCCCTGTTTGCTAGATGGGTATTGTTGGCGTTCGCGCGCCCAAAACAACGCGCGCGCGGCGAGCAACGGCAGGCAACTACTCTATCAAGGCGGCCCAGGTTACGCACGAGGCATGATATGCAACGATATGCAACCACTCAACCAGGACGCTACACATCCCTGATCAGGACAACTCGCCTGGTGCCTGTTGTCGAATGGGCTGGGCGGGATACTTTTTGATTGCGAGTGACGCGGAATCAGCCGCGCACCGTCAAGAAAGGTCGATCGAAGTGCTAAGCCGCGCAAGTGCAAAGCAGCGGAAAAAAAAAGGGACGGGCCACTACGCAGACAGCGCAAGAGGAACGAAAACAGAACGAAGCGAAAGAGAGAGAGAGAGAGAGACACAAGACCGAGGAGGAAGAATACAAGACAGAAAGACAGAATGCAAGCCGCAACTCGATCTCAGACCAAGTAGTGGACGACCGCCCCTTGTCGAACCACCCCTTGTCGAACCACCCCTTGTCGAACCGCCATGGCGGGGATACTTTTTTTATCTGCGGCCCCAAGGAAGAGTCCTGAGGGCGGGTCAATCGGGCTGACTGGGGCACAGAGCCAGATAATTTGCGAACCCAGCTGTCACTGTCGACAGCCGACCGCATATGCAAGCATGCCGAGCAATTCAAGGAGAGCCGACGACGGACAGCGGGGCGTCGCACGGTGGCGCCAGCACCCGACAGACCGGACGGCGAAGGGCAAGGCGACGGGGGGGGAAAAAGGGGGGGGAGGGAGAGGGACAAGGGAAAAAAGAGCCTCACTCACGGAGCACCACGTGCTCGAGGGCAGGTCGAAACTGAACCAGGCGACGGTAGACTTGGCGTGAGTCCCGAGTGGAAACTTCCATGCGTCCATGGACGGGGGGGACGTCGCGTGGGAACCACGTCGCTACCCACCAGCGTTCAGAGGCCCCGCCTATGGTGGGGATACGCGAAGCGTCCAGAATTTCTCAGAGAGGACCCCACGATCGCCTTACAGGCCTGGAGAACCGACCCTGGGCGGCATGCTCGTACTTCAATACCTGAAGCGTTCCGACAGGCCCCGCCGACCACGGAAGGGCTGACACCTGTGAGGCAGTGCTGGCCAGCTTCAAGCACCCGGCCCTGACTGGACTGTCTGGTACCCAGGACCACGTGCGAGGGGGAACATTAGGGCGGGGGACCGGATCAAGGGGGGGGACATCGACAGGGAATCGGCAATACATCGACGATAGATCGGCGATAGGCCCCCGATAGCTAGTCCGCAAGTTCCAGGGCGGGGTGAGCCCTCGGGCCCCTATCGGGGATGAATGGGCGATTGGGGGTCGTCAGCCTATTCCCCCCGAACGTTGCCTCTGAACGTGGCCCGCGCCAGAATGTTTCCGCTTGAGGTGCAGATTTGGGGCGCGTGAAATTGCTAGTCGTGTAGCGCACGGCGGGACGCCAAGCATTCAAAGAGCAAAATCGGGCTTCAGACTTGAGTTTGACCTTCGGAATGCCCCTGCTTCGCTGCTAGAGCTTCAGCTTATGATTCCGGTTGCGAACCGAATGATGTTTGAGGAGGTCCAGGGAGGTGCGAAGCACGCAGCGGCAACCCCGACCGCCACAAAACAGTGGATTTGCATTGCACGTGTGTTTGCACTGCAAGTTGTTGTGCAATGCAATTTTGGTATGTTTCGGAATGCCGCTGGTTGCTGCTAGGGCTTGAGCTTATGATTCCGCCTGCGAGCCGAATGTGGTTTGAGGTCCCGGGAGGCGCGCACTGCCAACCACGACCACTTAAAAACATGTTATCGTCTAGATTGCAGTTGCTGTTGCCGTCAGTTGTTGTCTGGGCAGTGCAATTTCTGTTGTGATGCAGTCCCGCCAGCCCTCTGGACGTAGGTGGTTTCACGAACTCTTATCTTCTCTCTTCCAAAACCCCTACTTCCCCTGCTCGGGGGAGGGGCTTATCACTGCTAACTATTGATAATATTAATGAGCACCCCCTCCCCAACCCGACTGTGGGCCAACCGGGGACATGCCCCCCCCCCCCCGACCATCCTGCCAAAAAACAATACAGAATGCACTCTGCCTCCAAATCTCGAGCATGCGCGGGCGCCCCGCGACCACTCTGCATTGGTTTTTGACATGGACGGCGGGGGTGCCGGCACATGTTGTTTTTTGCGCACTAGTTACGCGCAGGCCGACCGTCCCTGTTTAAAACGATACACCATGCACTTCGCCTCCAAATCTGGAGCATGCGCAGGCGCCCCGCGACCACTCGGCGAGCGCCCCGCGACCACTCTGCATTGGTTTTTCCCGAACCAGGGCTTGCACTGAAGGGGTCCTCGCGGATGCTGCTAGAGTTGGCGAAAGTGCCTCGCCGATTTTGGTGGCACGCTGGGTTCCCGGGTTCCCAGTTCCGGGTTCCCGGATTCCTGGTCAGTGGTTCTGGACCGATGGTTCACTACCGATCTCACTGTCGAGGTCATTATACGGATCTCATTAGCTCCCAGGTTCCCAGTTCCGGGTTCCCGGGTTCCTGATCATTGGTTCCGGGCCCACTACCGATCTCACTGTCAAATTCATTACGGATCTCATTCAATGTTCCCCAATCTGTGCTTGCATTGCAGGGGTCCTCGCGGATGTTCCCCAATCAGTGCTTGCACTGAAAAGGTCCTCGCGGATGTTGAAGGATTTGGCGAAAGTGCCCCGCCGATTTTGGTCGCACGCTGGGTTCCTGGGTTCCCGGGTTCTTGGTTCCGGGTTCCCGGGTTCCCGGTTTCCCGGTTCCGGTTTCCGGGCCGATTTCGGAGGGCGGCGACGTTCCCGGTCTCCCTGGTTCTTGGTCGATATTCTTGCCCATCGGTCTCACCATCGATCTCATCACCGACTTCTCGATCGATCTCACAATCGATCCCACAACCGATCTCAATATCAATATCACAAGCGATCTCAATAGAGATCGCATGAGCATGAGCGGCCTCGCGATCGATATCACTACCGATCTCATTGAATCGATTTCACTCTCGGTCTCACGATCGACCTTACAATCGTCCTCATTGTCGATTACA